TGTGGCCCGGTGGAGCTCTTGCCTTGCCTGCGGGAGGCCTGAGTTCCATCCTCAGCTCACAAGAAAAAGAAGTTCAGCTATGTCCCCACCTTCTTCATACAGAGATGGAAACTTTGGCCCCGACCCTGCCTCAAGGCCATTTCAGCAGAACTGGATTTTTAGCATTTCTGAGCCCTCTGGTGGGCAAGCCTGGCTACACGCACATGTGCGTATTCCTGGTCCCTCACACACTGCAGTAGAGTGTGAAATATTCCAGCCCTGGAAGCAAGCTTGGCACTTTCTTATTAGAGAAAATATAAAATCATCACACAGCACCATTGATTCTCCTCCTGAGAGCTCGCTCCAGAAGAATGAGGCTGTCCAGTCGCACACACAAGCACCCTGCCCCATCCCAGTGACGGCACTGTCTCTGTTCCTCCTCTGGAAACCACCGGGTAGTGGCAACCTTGCCTCCAAAGAAGTCCACGTGTGAATGCCTGTGGCTGTGGCATCTGACGGAGCCAGAGGATGGGATTCAGTAAGGCCTTTGAGACAGGAAGAGTGCCAGGGTTCCCCAGAAGTGCCCTACAGGAGCCTCAGACTTCCTCCTGTGAGAGACACAAGAGGGTTAGAGTCAGAGAAAGAGATGCCAGAAGCAGCTGAGAAAGAGACACAGAGACAGAGAGAGAGACACACAGAGAGAGACAAAGAGACAGAGAGAGACAGAGAGACAGAGAGAGGAGAGAGAGACAGAGAGAGGAGAGAGAGACAGAGAGAGAGGAGAGAGAGAGAGGAGAGAAGAGAGAGAGACAGAGAGAGAGGAGAGAGAGGAGAGAGACAGAGAGAGAGGAGAAAGACAGAGAGAGAGGAGAGAGAGAGGAGAGAGACAGAGAGAGAGGAGAAAGACAGAGAGGAGAGACAGAAAGACAGAGACAGAGAGACAGAGAGACAGACAGAGACACAGAGAGACAGAGACAGACAGACAGATAGACAGAGAGACAGACAGATTAGAAGGCGTCACACTGCTGACTTTGCAGGTGGAAGAAGGAGCCTGAATTCCGAGGATGTAGGCAGTCTCTCAAAATGGGAACAGCAAGCAAACAGGTTCCCCCCTGGGGCCTCCAGAGGACACCACAGGCCACCCTGGCATTAGTGTGCCAACCCGCGGAACTGCAACAGCACATGTTGGGGCTGTGATAAGGCACCAAGCCTGTGGTCCCTTGCTTCCACTGTGATAGGGAGTGAATGCCAACCCAGATGTCCTTCGGGGTGAGGCGCTCAACCGTGGTCTGTCACCAGCCAGGGCTGTGGGGCTTTCCAGAGTGGAGATGGGAATCTCGGCCCACTCTGCCTGGAAGAGGAGGCCGCTGACCCCCATCACAGAAAGGGAATTTCTAGGACTCAAATGCAAGTGTACAACAAAGGCACACTTAGGAAAGAACAGAACAGAAGAAAATGAAATGAGTTATTGTAAGAAATAAAAGGAGAGAAAAAGAAAACCTTGCAGCAGGGACGGGCTGCACTTACGAGACAGACGGGAGATGGCATTGCGGGCTCTGAGGTACCAAGCGCAGCTCTCTGTCACAGAGTGAGGGTTAATGAGGTGCTGAAGGGAGTGCAGAAGGGAAGGGCCTTTGGTCTGTGCTCACTGCTCAGTCCTGGGTTGCTGCAAGCCTTCCTAGCCCAGGGCCCCAGCCCCGCCTCCTTAAAAGGAATTTATGTATTCGGTTCAGGGTTGCATTCTGCAGCTCAGACTCATAGTGGTCGTCCTCTCTCAGCCTCCTCAGTGCTGGGATTACAGGTGAGGGCCACCACGCTGAGGCTCAGTCCCAGGCTCAGTGCCCCCTGGGGTGGGCTGGCTTGGCATGTTGTGCTGAGGACTGAACCCCGGTCCCTGGGCTTGCCTGAGTAGGTGCTTGGTCCTCTGAGATTTCTTGCCGGCCCTTCAACACACCTTGGTAAGGTTTGGGACAGTGAACAGTTTTCATGGGTGTCTTAATTAGGGAGCACAGGAGGCTGTGGGTAAGGGTTCCAACCCAGGGGCAAATGGCCACTGGCTTTTCTCTTCTATTATAAATGGGTGTAGAAGGCTGGGGGTGTGGCTCAGTGGCAGAGTTCTTGCCCTACATGCACAGGTCCCTGGGTTCAAACCCTGGCACCACAGAAAGGGTGCAGTCATGGGGACTTGGGGGTGGGAATGTGTGAATTTCTGCCCCATGA